AGATCATACAAAATCACAACTTCACAACTTTTAACGACATCCATTACAACCAAGTCATCAACATAATATCACAACTAATTCATCATTGCAACAACTCAAGATGCAACATGGGATGTGACTCGTTACGATGCAAATGCATGTGGTACCAACGGAGAAAAACTCCCAACTTAATAATCTTGCCAATTAATAGAGGCAGCAACAAGGCATAAGCCTTCAATTTTATATTTGCCAATCCAGGCCAACTTGATATGCTATATATGCGACAATAGTATAAATGTAATAACAATTAACAACAATTAATTCAACAACGACTCAACATAATTTAACACTGGCCATAAGCCTACAACTTGATATTACCAATAATTAGAGGCATTTCTGCAACATCAGTATATCCTACAACTTTGCATCGTCAACAATATTGACATTACAACCACATAGTGAAATTCAGAAATAAATTTAATATCTACCATATATATATATATATATATATATATATATATATATATATATATATATATATATATATATATATATATATATATATATATATATATATATATATATATATATATATATATATATATATATATATATATATATATATATATATATATATATATATACTCTATAGTTATTTAATTATTCTTGTGTGGATTAACATGCTAAGACTATAGTAAATATTGATTACTTAATCTCTGCTACCTATACTTCATTAATTCTGTGATAACAATTGGTAACCAATTAATAAAGTAGTAGACACATGAAACAGACAGAACGAACAAAAGAAAATTTGATGTTTAAGAGTGTGTGCCTCTTGGCACACTATGTACCCCTCGGCACATCCTTCCCTTCACATGGTGTCGATCGACACCATTTCCTTCTCCCCGACACACTCTTCCATTGTGTGCCCTTCAGCACACCTTGTGCCCTTCGGCACCATATGCTTTTTACATAGTTTCAACACAGAACTTCGAATAATTTTTCCTCCGATTACCGGTCTCATACGAAAATAATATATGTTTGCAGCAACATCAATTTTCACCGAAACAACAATTTTACAGGGACGAAAATTTTACACACAGTAGCAATCTCATACGACCCAATCCCCACATAACATTATTCATATACCCAATTATAGAGTCAGAACCCCACCCTTACCTTGGATTGAAGGTTGCTATACAATTTTCCGATCGAACCTAGTTTGCCTCTTTTCCTTGTTCCTCTTCTCTGCAACTTCCTACGTTACTGCTCCAAGACTTATGATCTTTCTAATTAACCTAATTTCTTATTATTATAACTAAACCTAATAATAATATTATTATTCCTAATTGGATCAACTTACACACCCCACCTATTATTACTTCTAACCATCAAAATATGTCCAACTAATATTCTACTAATATTCTATACTTTCTAATATTATTTATTAATATTATTAATCAACTTAATTTAACTGACTAATAATAACACTGCAACTTATACCGACGCAACACAATATTTCAATAAATAATTCGAAATTAATCAAAAATATCTAATTAAATAATTAATTAAGTCAACCAGGCGTTACAGGTAGCCTGAAAGCACCTGCCTGTGACGAGTCACCATCTCAGCTCATTGATGCTTGTAACCTCCGACGGTGTAACCAATATAGTGTTACACAACCTTGATTCCTCCATTCATGGGGACGACAGAGGTTATTAGAGTTATGGAACTCAAGAATCACTCATTAACCGAGGCTCTTGATGACGAGATACACACTATATAAAGGGGCTCTCGCAAGAGAGATAAGCAAGACATTCATATTGGGACACACACATCACTATCGTAGCTCCCAAATCCCCCAATCATCACATAAACTCACTTAGGTAAGCTCTCCCTAGCATCCTCTTAGGAAGTCGGCCGAATATTTTATTCTATACAAGAACATTGGCGCCCACCGTGGGGCCTTGGTAAAATTATTCCTAGGCCACACCTCAATTCACCTTCTTCAGAATATCGTCACCTGGAGACCCCAAGACATGGAACAACTACTACCTATGGTGGAGACCCTCAGGCAACAAAACAAATCTCTGCAAGATAGCGTCACAGACCTATAACAAAGAAGCGTAGGGGACGACGGTCCAGAAGAGGAGCTTCTGGAACCTCAACCTCTATCTAAAACTATTTGGGATGGCCAAGTCCCATAGAACTTCAAATCACCATCATTGACGACGTATGACAGCAGAACCGACCCCCAGGAGCACGTTATTGCCATCAACAATCAAATGGCAATAATTGGCCCCACCGACTCATTGAAATGTAAACTGGTGGCTGGCACCTTCAAGGACATGGCCTTGTGGTGGTACATGAGTCTGCCACGACTATTCGTTGAAAGCTACACGGACCTAAGTTAATCCAGCACTTCTCTACAACACGAGGCTCAATCCAGACAAATGTATCTTTGGTGTGCAAGCCGGCAAGTTCCTGAGGTTCATGCTCACTAACCGTGGCATAAAAGCCAATCCGGACAAGTGTTAGGCGATCATCGACTTGTGTAGCATGTCTCAAAAAAGGAGGTACAACAACTAATAGAAAGGTTAACCGCTTTGTCCCGATTCTTGTCATGCTTTGAGGGTAGAGTGGTCCATTTCTTCGCAGCCCTTAGGAAGTCGGAGGAATTTGAATGGACGATAGCATGCAAGGAATCCTTTCAAGGAGTAAAATGCTTATTGTCATTTCCACCAATCATGAAGAGACCGAAAGAGAATGCATATTTGATCCTATATCTGGCGGTTTATGAGAAAGCCATGAGCTCAGTACTCGTCCAGGAAGGGGAAGAGGGGGAAATATCGGTGTACTTCGTTAGCAAGGTTCTGAAAAGAGCTGAGTTACGATACCTAAAGATTGAGAAGTTGGCCCTAACATTGATAATAACAGCAGGAAATTAAGACATTACTTTTAGGGTCATCCAATAACCGTGAGGACTAATTACCCCATCAAGAAGATACTGAAGAAATCGGATCTAGCCAAAAGGATGGTCACATGGGTTATGGATTTGTCAGAATATGATATTGAATTCACTCTGAGAACCAGCATCAAATCGCAGACACTAGCCGACTTCATGGTGGAACTAAGTGACCCAATAACCGAAGAAAATACGAGCAAGTGGGCTCTCCATATTGACGGTTCATCCAACCTCAAAGGAAGCGGGGCCGAGGTCGTCCTTCAAGGACCCGATAAATTTGTATTGGAGTACTCCTTGAGCTTCAACTTTTAGGCTAGCAATAATCAGGCGGAATACGAAGCCCTCATAGTAGGGATGAAATTGGCTAAGGAGGTGGGAATCACCCATCTAGCCGTAACCACTGATTCACAATTAGTTGCAGGGCAGATGAAACGGGAGTACCAAACAAGGGACTCAATATTGTTGAAATATCTCCAGATAACACATGGGTTGTCAAAGACCTTCGCAGAATTTGAGGTTAATCACATCCCTAGGTAAAAGAATGTATGAGCCGATGTATTAGTCTGACTCGCCAGTACCAAGGGACCAGGACTAAATAAAACAATGATACATGAGATCTTAGAAAGGCCAAGCATCGAGCAGGAAGAGGCCATATCAATTGAGCACATCACCAGTTGGATGGCCCCAATAATACAATACCTAACGCAGAAAATTATGCCCTAGGACACCAACAAAACAATGCGCATAAAAAATGTATCCACTCGATATCTGATGATACCTAACAAAATATACAAAGTGGGGAGGTCCACACCCATGTTGAGATGCATGACAGAAGTAAAGGTTACCTTAATGATGAAAGAGGTCCATGAAGGGGCGTGCGGAAGCTACATCGGAGGAAGAGCCCTGTCCGGGAAGATACTCTGAGTCGGGTACTATTGGCCTCAAATGTTACAAGATCGCATCGAGTTCGTGAGCAAGTGTGACAAATTCCAAGTATACTCACCACTTATATATTCTTCGGTCGAGTTACTGCACTTCATATTTTCCCCATGGCCATTTTACCAATGGGGAGCAGACATACTGAGACTATTCCCAACAACACTCGAACAGTTAAAATTTCTCATTGTGGTCGTCGATTACTTCACAAAATAGGTAGAAGATGAGGTTGTAGCACACATTATCGCATGTTGACGCCTCAAAAAATTATCTTAATTTGATTCAATGAAATCCCCATCTAACTTTATTCATTTCTAAGAGGAAAGAGAATATATATATATAACCCAATAATGTAATGAAAAGGTCATCGAAACCAAAAGATATGTTTGGGAGTCGGTTATGCAAGGGAAATGTATTAGCATCACTCACATCCATCGTACTCGATGGAAACCGTTTAGTTTTAAGTGTGTCGTGCATTTAGTGTGTAAATTAGCAATATTCTTATTATGCGAGAAAAGAGATGAAAAGGGAGAAATGTTTTTTAGTTTTTTGAAAGTGAGTTTGCCTTGGTTTCGCAACAGTGTGCCTATATATTCCCCGAATGCGATGGGAAAATCATAGCTTACGTAGTTCTTGGTGAACTAAAATGTTTGTTGGTTGATTTGATTTTATTTATGAAAATATGGGCTTAATCGTACGTGGACAATAAGACATCATTAAGTGATTCACATGTGAGAGAAAGAAGATCACGTGTGAGCGATGAAAGTCGCATGTGAGCGATGAAAGTCGTGTGTGAGTGAAGTTTGAAAAAGAGGCACTCACGCGTGGGCGAAGTTTGATGAGTTAAGTTGTTTTTATTAAGACACAAGCGCTATGGAATCTCCAATCTATTACAAATCATTGAAGAGGAACAAGGAGACATTATTCTAGTGCTGTTTATTTCAAATTTCAACTGCATCAAAGCCAATCTACTACAAATCATTGAAGAGGAACAAGGAGACATTATTCTAGTGCTGTTTATTTCAAATTTCAGCTGCATCAAAGATACATTTCATTCACTCATAAAATGAAACGATGATAAGTAATGCTTATGGATTTAACAATGATAACTAATGCGTATTTAAATCCATATATCTGAAGTGCAGTCACCACCAGGGTATCTCATCTCATGAGCAAGGGCAGGACCATGAGGCTCAGCTCCAAAGTCCACAAAGAAGTTTGGGTTGATTTTCAGACCACCATTCTCAGTATCAACATCAACCTGTAAAATATGAGATCCTTGCTCTACAAGCTTTGGATAAAACTGTTTATCCCAAGCACTGAATAGTGAGTTGGTAACATACAGCCTCTTTCCATCTAAGCTCAATTGAATCATCTGAGGACCCCCTCTCAGCTTATTCCCCTGAAACGCCAACATCACATACATCAGACACTGAGACATGTTGAACTCCGGACGCACACATTGACTATCTTAAGTGTTAGTGCTATATAGATATAGTCAATTTCACAAAGACAGCACCGAGGTAGTAAGTTTAAAAAGACAAAATTGGAATATCGAATACCTGAATCTCGGGGACATCAACTTGCCAAGTTTCACCGTCGTCCTTGACAGCAACTACAGGGCTTCCTTTCTGGAAAAGGCCACCAACCCATAATTGACCGGTTAGTTTAGGATTTTTGACGTCCTCAATGTTATACTGTCTTATATCGCCATGAAGCCAGTTTACAAAGTACAGAAACCGGTCATCAAGAGAAATCAGAAAATCAGTTATAAGCCCAGGCATTTCAGGAAGAAACCAGTTTTGCACTTTCAACGGTTCCACTTGTAACACAATCTGCAAGTAAAAAGCTTAATCTGTAAGTATTATTGATAATTTTCATGAACCATTTAGTGTTTTAAAAGAGAGTAGATATTAAAATCTTTTCAATATACCTCATGGCCCCATGATTCATCTTCTTTCTTGAAAAATCGTATCATGTTACTCGACAACGCACTCCCGACATAACCTGTATCTTTAGCAGGATCATGAAGGAACCTAATCTGCATTCAAAATCAGGACGAAACAGAAAACAAACGGCTCAAACGATTGAACTGTAGACAGTGGAGGTACAGGATTGAGCTAGTTTAGCTATCAAAAACGGTTCAAATTTTAAAACATTGTTTGAAACATCTCGCAGAACATTTTAAACAAAATATCTACCTCCAAAGGTAAAAGCCCTTTTTCACCAAGGTCCAGTGTTTGTCTCAGTTCGCCCCCGGGCCAGTTGTATACATGAAGATGCCTCCCATAGAGTCCATCAGCAACATGCTGCAAGTTAAAACCTTGTCTAAAGGCCTTAGGAGCACCCCATGATGTGCTAATCATAGTATTGAACCGTGGTTGGTACCAAAAGTCATATCCAAACAATGGACTGTGACCTGGTTTCTCCCACCTTCAAGATACAAGACAACATAATTAGCAAATAAGATACTGAAGATGCAACATCATATAATGTTCAATCTCGTGAGCATTCTGAATTTTACCTTCCTTTCACATTAAACTCTGAATCAAGAAGAAGAAAACCATTTCCATCAGCATTTCCTTCTTTATCTCCGATACATGAGATCATAATATCACCAGATGCCAGACAATGAGATGTGTGTGGATAAGCTAATCCAGTCTTCTCCAAGATATCTTCAGGCTCTACAACTTTGTACAAAGATGGAGCCCTTGGATCTGTTTTTGTGTCAACCACATGTATACGGCCCGATCTGAAATAGTATAAAGTTCATTTTAGTTTCCAACACAAGATAGTTAAATCAAAAGACAGACAACAAAAAGGGAACTAAAATAAAGATGATATCATCCTGGAATCAACAAGACACAAAAACCAAGCTTAATCAGAAGAATTGGATTCAGTCCTAGGCATGCAGCAGTGTTAAATCTCTTCCACCTCAATGGATGCAACATATAAACATGATCCATTCTCAAGAGAAAGCAAGTAAATATAGAGAGCCTTACGTAAGTCCAGGTACGATGAGAAATCTTCTCTGTACAGACGGGTCACCATGGCAAGAACTGCAAGAATTCCAACCAGTATGATGCAATTCATCACCAATATTAGGAACAGGTAGTCTATGAATCACTTTTGAAAAAGTTGGAGAGTTTGGATCCACATCAACCGTAGCCAAATAATCTGGCTTCTCAATTCCAGTACCTGTAATCAAAATTCAAATTCATCAGATTAAATGAAGCACAGACACCCCAAACACTCAGACACATACACATGCACACCTTTTTTCAGAGATGTCGATTTCTTTTACCAAAACTACCAAAACTCAATCAATCAATAACACAAAACAAAGATGCATGCAAATCATATAAAAAATATTTAAAAAAAACAATTAATCAATTAGAATTAGGTACCTGTGTAGATAGCAGTGACATAAATAAGAGTTTCTCTGGGACCCTTAATGGCATCAAGAGGGGTAGCATAGCCAGGCCCTGATTTGCAGCATCCATTCTCTGCCATTTTTTCTCTGAGAAAAGTTCTAGGAAGAAAATTGTGAAGAAGATTTATGAGATAACCTCGAAGAGATGGTGACAGAAAGAAACAACGTTGTCGCGTATATAACTCGTGACTGTTGTGTATTTATTGAAACAGTATGTATTGAAACAGTAATGTCGTCTTTGTACATGTTGGCATCGAAATATGTCTACAATCGATGCACATTAATTAGTCTAAACATTACTATGACCAATATTAAATGCATTTAAAATTTGAAATTTTGTTCCATGTTTTTTTGTTTCTTTATATGGGAAATAACTATTTTTTTAAGATTTTAAATAATTTTAGCAATTACCAATATAAAATTTATTCAATTTATAAGACTTTTTATACGTTTAGTCAATTATAATAGGTAAAAACTATTGAAAATGTTTGACTAATAGTTTAATAGTTAGATTTCTCTAAAGAGAAAAGATATCTTGAAACCACATTCTTATTTTTTTTTATAAATTATTTTAGTTAATAAAATATTAAAATTTGGTTAATATAGTTTAAAATTTGATTAATATATATTTTGACATAAAAAAGTTAATATGTATACGGTTCAGATTTTGGTTAATAATCTGTATAAAGTTAGTTAATAAAATTAATAATTTGGTTAATGAGTTTTCAAACATAAAAAATATTAAATAGTAAAATAAAATTGGTTAATAGAGTATAAAAATTAGTTAATATATTTATAATTTAGTGTCAGAACATGATTAGTACTATGTATTTTATTGGTTAATGAAATATTAAAAATGGTTAATAAATTATAAATAAAATAGTTGGTTAATGACATATATTTTTGTGGTTAATATAATTGTGAAGTTGGTTAATAACACAATCATATACTTGTGTTATAAAATAAGTTTTAAAAATAAATATTTTTTATAAATATTTTAAAAAAATAATATTATTTTATTAAAAAAATATTGTTCACCATATGAATACGGTGAACAGTGTATACAGTGAAACACTGGATGTAAGTAATCAGTGTCAACATAGCAAACTTGTTCTCAAAAATGACATATTGTTGGATATAATTCATATTCAGAAGTATTTGTATTAATCAGAAGCAGAAGCTTTCGAGGTTGCGTCATATAAGCATGTTTAACTTCTAGAGTCCTAGTTTATTTGTTAGCTTAACTATTAAGTTTACTTTTGTTAGGGCTTACGTGGCCGTTTATTTTGTGTATATAAACAACTTTGTAGCTAGGGTTTTAGTAAGATTTTAATATATAATTTCTTCCTCAACAAGTTTGTTGTAGCTGTCATTACTCTCTCTCTCTCTCTCTCCCTTCCATTTGTATCTTCATCTTCAATCTTTGTGCACCAACAATTAGTATCTAGAGCTCCGGTTCGGTTCACAGGGGAACACGAGTGTACATGAGGCGCGTATAATTGATTTCGTTGTTCCTAAATCCGTGTTGAATTCACGATCGAAATTGTAATAGGATTGCATTTCATGATTTTGCGGGGTCGGGAAATACGAGTGTTTGGTAAGATCTGATGTTTGTTTTAGTTTTTAGTTCATAAAAACAAAAATGGGTGGCAGAAGCAGTTTAAATACTAAAATTCTTGTGTTTGATGAAAAGAATTGGAATCGGTGGATGATTCAAATGTGTGTGTGTTGTTCAATGCTCAATATATGCTTGATCTTGTCACTAAAGGTTGGTTTCCGGTTGCAATAGATGCGACAGACGAAAAGAGAACCGCACATAGAGATACGAGGAAGAAGGACTAAAAGGCATTGTTTTACATCCATCAGTGTGTGGATGCGAATTTGTTTGAGAAAATCGTTGATTTTTTGATGACGATGAAGATTGCGTGGGATATACTGACACGGTGCTACCGCAGTAATGCATCAGTGAAGAAGGTGAAACTTCAATCTTTACGTAAGAAGTATGAGAATCTCAACATGAAGAGCAATGAGAAGGTATCGAATTTCATCTCTAGAGTGATTTTGATCACAAATAAGATGATATTGTATGGAGAAACCCTTTCTGAACAAGTAATCATTGAGAAGATATTGATGTTTCTTACTCCTTAATTTGATTACATTGTTGTAGCAATTGAACATTCTAAAGATCTGAGCATCATGAGAATTGAAGAGCTGCTAAATAGTCTATAGGCACAAGAGTTACATCTGTCTGAGAGAACCTCTGAGAGAGAGGTTAAGCAAGCCCTGGAAGCTTCTTTTGTCAAGAAGGACCAGAAACATTCTTGGTCAGAAGCCAATAAGAGACATGGTGGTAGTTTCCTGTAGTTAGAAGCCTCAAATTCTGATGAGAAAAAACATCATAAGAGAAAGGAGAAGTTTAACAAGAAGAAGGTTCAAAGTTACTAGTGCAAGCAGTTTTGCCACTTTGCTAAGGATTATTGGTCAAACAAGGGAAGGAAATTAGAAGAAGCAAATATATCAAGAAGATATTCTGATGATGAACCTGTGTTATTAATGGCCTCTTGAGTCTGATAGAAAAAAATTGGTAGACTGGTGGTATATGGATACTGCTTGCTCAAATCACTTGATTGGAAACAAACAATGGCTTATTGATTTTGACTCCAGAAGGAGGACAAAGATCAGATGTGTTGATGATAAGTACCTTAATGCAGGAGGTATGAGAAATGTCAAAGTCAGAGTGAAGAATGGAAGAACTGTTCTGGTCAAAGACGTTTGGTATGTTCCTAGAATGATGAGTAATATGATGAGTGTGGATCAGCTCATTGAAAAATGTTTCTCAGTTACTATGAAGAACAATATCTTGAAGTTGTATGATTTCATTCAGAAGCTGATTATGCAATCTGAGCATGGAAGCAATAAAACATTCAAGGTGGATGTGGAAACAACTGAAACAGATTGCCTTAGTGTAGAAGGCGTTGAAGGTGATAGTAAGTTGTGAATAAGAGATTGGGGCATCTGAACTACATAAGCTTATAGCGTATGAGTTCTAAGAAGCCCGTACATGGCATTTCAGAGATTGTGAAGCTTGAGAAGTCATGTGAGGTATGCATGAAAGGCAAGCAACCTAGATTGTCATTTACGTTGAAAGCAGCCCCAAGAGCAAAGCATGCTATGGGAGTAGTACATTCTGATGTTTGTGGACCATTTTCATAACCTTCCGTGATACGGTGGGAGAACTGACTATGGTTTTGCGTTTGTTTTCGCAAATGTTTCGGTTGAGCAAGAGTCGCCACCGACTTTTTATTTTATCCTAAGGAAAGGTTTAAAAAGCACAGCAAAAACCTATGAGATGTTTTCTTGGGTTCGGGGAGTAGATTATAGAAAGGGAAGGTATTAACACCCTTTCTATCCATGGTTATCCATGGGCTCTTAGGTACTTGCTTAGATCAACTTGCCTTGGTTTTCAATTGTTTGAAATGGTGCTTGGTGTGTGGTTTTGAAAATGTTTTGAAAAGATGCCTTGTATAGGCTACCCTTGTAACAATTCTTTACTCGAATGTTTTACAAGAGGTGTTTGTCTTTTAAAAAGATGTTTCAAGGTTTTTGAAAGTGTTCGTGAGGTGTAGTTTGAAATTAGGCAAGTGTTTTCTTTGCAAATTGACAAGTACCTAAGAGTTATCTACCCTAAAGTTTTCTCAAAGATTCTTGTTATGTTTTAAACCTTTTTGACAATTTTGTTCCACCATTGCATTTGGTGGACAATCTTGTTTTAGGAGGTAAAAGGGACGGGCGCGGGTCATCGTTTAGACCATAATTGCAATAGTGTTAAATGTCTTTGGGCAATTTCTCTTTGAAAGGGGCTTGATCATTTTAGGCAACTTTTCGAAAGCGTCATCGAGGGACTTATGATCATTTGATTGTTTGTTTTACCCAAAGAAACCTAACATGCAATATGGCCCAATTAATTGAAGGCAACAAAGTGGAATATCCTAGGGGTGCAAGTGTGAAATGTGTTGTCCATTTTTCATGCTTTTTTGTCTTGAGATTAGGTCAAACTAATTTGTTCGTTTTATTCGCGTACAAACCCTAACTCTAGCATAGTATATTTAGAAAGCGATAAAATGCGAAATTTAAATTCCTACGCTATTACAACACAATAATATGGGGAGGGGGGTACAAATGTTTCAAATGGGGATTATTTAGACAAGAATTTAAACCTAACTATTACATCATTTTTTTTGAATATTTACAAGATAAAAAAATACATAATTAAATGGAAATGAAATAAATATGCAAAATAAAAAAAGTATTATTTATGTGAAATAAAAAAGAATTAAAAGGGGATTATTTTTGGAGTATTTTCATATTTTAGGGCAAAACCCTAATTTTAATTAAAAGGGTATTAATTATTTAATATATATAATATTTACTATTTATATACAAAGAATGAAAGAAAAATGAAGTATATTTGTAAAAATGTATTTTTTAGCATTAAATATTAATAAAATAAAATATGTACATTTTTTGGTATTTTATATCCTAAGTGTATTAATATATATCTATTTATTTATATTATTTGCAAAACATGTATTATATATATTAATTAATAATATTTAATATTTAAATAAAAAAAGTATTTTTCTATAAAATATTTTCAGGAAGTAAAAATAAGATAAAAGTGTATAAAATATATTTGTGCTATTTTAGTATTTTAAACAAAAAAGTATATATCTATTTATTTATGTACAAACTAAAAGAAAAATAAATACCTAATAAATTCAAAAATGATGAGAAAAAATATTTTTATATTTTTAACATGCTGAGAAAAAATAAATGAGTCAATTAAAAAAAGAAAAAGTCAAAAAATATTAAAAATAAAGCAAATGGGCTCAGGGGGTGTAAAACCAAAAAGGTGGTGTGAATAAGAAAATAACTCAGGCCCAGCCCAAGAAGACATTGTCTTCAACCTTCAGACAAAACCAGTTCAAAACGCGCGCCCTTCTTCTCAAACTTCTAACTCCTGATTCCTGGCTTATTAATGAAAACTCATAACATAAAAAATGTTCAGCATCAAGAGACG